TTTTTTTTTTTTTTTTTTTTTTTGCTTAAAATTCTTTTAAAGTAATATTCTATGAAAATTCACTCTACGTATGAATTACTTTTTATTATTAGCTTTCTTATTTTATCATTACTTTATACCCATTTAAATAGAACAATGCTAGATATATTTATCATCGGAACATTTTATTTTTATAATTTCACCATTGTTTTTTATGTATAAATTTAACCTACTATCGAGTTTTGAATGCTTTTTAATTAATGAAGTTTATTATTTTTAATAAAGTAAAATTTCCTTACCTTAATTTTGTGAAGTTATTGTTATCCCTACAGTTATCGGCGCTATCCCACAAGCTTTTAAACAGATCCTGGAGAGCGCTTTAAGATATACCCCTTAAATATGATGGGTGGTGCTGCATGTCTTTTAAAAAAGTAGGCGTTACGTATCATGTACATTGTCATTTAATTTTTTTTATACTTATTCAAATGAATACAGTTTTCAAAAAAGCATAATAAGTTCATTTTATTGCTTGTGACCATTATCATATATGTGTTGTATGTATTTTTTCTGATCAAGTTATAACATCGTATAAACTTACCTACGTTTTATTTTATAGCATTATTCACTCACCCCGTTAATTTCTTTTGAAATAAAACAACAGTACGTGATATTATTGAAGTATTTTACACATCATCAATTTTAGTATAGATCGTTACAAACATTATTTTGTAACATTACATTGTAAAAATGATGGTTAAAATTAAAGTTAAATATAACATAATCACTACGTATTTTTAACATTTTTAAATACAAAAAACGAAATTATTGTTATGTGTTCATCTGTGTTGTTAACATAAAAATTAAATAGATTACTATTCGATGTTCCCACTATTCGCCCAAAAAATATTATTTCACTTTGTTCTCAATTTCATCTCTGTAAAGATTAGATGAAAATTTCGTCATTATCGGATGCTTCCAAATGTTTCCTCTTTTTCCTCTTGTAACCCAAAAATAGTCATCGTCAATGTCAGTCCTTCGGTCCATTGTCACCCAAACAGGTTCATCTACGTATAATGGTTTTTCTAATCGCCCTAATTGCAAACAGAGTATAATAAATAAAATGAACGTATTACAACAATTTAAATATTTAAACAGTTGTAATTTTTAAAATTGTATAATTATTAAAGACTAAATTTTAACATAGAAAAATACTTTAATGATGAAAACGCTTTTTTAGTTATAATAGAGAAAGTCGTTCAAATTATTCTACTGGTTTTATTTAAATTCCATCGAGTATTAATTCGTTTTTCATTTTATTACTATATCGTTACTATTGATATTGTAAAAATAAATATTTGTAAATATATCAATAGTTACAAATATATATTTTTAATATTTATACAATAATATACTATATTAGTATTCTATTAAAATCAACTTTAAATTGCAATACTACCATTTAAACTGTTAGTATTGATTTTTCTTTCTGCATACTCATTCAAATTGATAAAGGGGTTGCTTCTACGGCCACGCGAAGGCCAAAAATTTGGATCCGCACTCTCCCCTAAAACTGTATTAATATCGGCCCGAGATGTTCTTGATTCTCCGTTAACTACCTATTCAAATATTTGTGAAATGGTGTTAAACACAGTATGTCATTATAAATTTTTTATAATTATGTGATTTAATGAAATACTTCATAATAATAGTATGATTATTTTCCGTTATTTATTATGAGACAAAAATATATTACATTTTACTATAATTTTATAATTTTGTATGATCTACTGAGATCACTATTATAGAAATAGTTAGTGAAAAGTAAAAATCAAATGCTGCAAATCGAATTACATAATTTCGAATGTTTACATTTATACGTTTTGTATAACAAAAAAGTCGAAAATAAAATTTTGGAAATATTTGAAAGAACTAAGTTAATTATGTATTTTGAACAGTTAAATGATTCTCTTTATCATATGTCATCAGTTTTATTATTTCAAATGCAAAAATATACATAGTTTAAAGCTTACTAACTTTAAAAAAAATTTTTGTGTTTCATATTTTCTAACGCGATAGTCTTCTTTCATAAACTATACGCATTAAAAATCTGTATTAAAAAAAATATTTATATTAAAAAGTATCAGTTGTAACTTTTATTTTGAAATTTTTACCAAAATCTAATGTGGGGTATAATCACAATTTAATTTTCATGAATATAATGTAGTGTCTTTAAATACGTTTGATTAAATTCAGTTATCTATGTGTATTCAGTAACACTTTAGATATTTTAATATATATTTTAAAATATTTTTTACTCAATGTGTACACTTAAAATTTAATTTTTATTCTTTACGTTAAAATGGGTCTAAAATATAAATACTACAAATAAAACTTTAATTATCCACTCATAGATTTCATATTTAGTTTAGGATATAAACTTAAAATTCAAATAAAAACGTTTGACTTAAAATATTTTGATGTTTTTTGATGTTGATGTAAGTTCAAAGGTTTAGCCACTAGAAGATTTGCTCAATACCAAAATAATATGTTACTTAGTATATATTTTTTAAGTATAATCAAAATCCGATCGTTCAAAACTACTTTTTCGTTTAAATATAAGTGTACTTCACTAATATTTTCAGTTGATATCTTTGTTTTAGTCACGCACGTAAATCTAAAAACATACTTATTTAAAATTTTCAAACATGACAATAATTATTTATTTTATATCTAATAAAGTATTTAATTTTTAATCGTTTTTTATTTTTATATACATAAATAATTTATTTTTTAAAAGAAAATTCATTTAATTATTTGTTTCTTAACTACTTACTTGTAATATATAGACTACCCCCATTAGGTAAAACTTGATCCTAGCGTCCAAAAGGTCCATGGTGTGTACAACAATGGAATATTTTCTCTTATGTTCACTTGTATTTATACATTAACAACGTACATATTACATTTGTAGGTATAATCGGACACACCATATGATTTCAAAGATTAACTCTGGGATTGCTACTGATCCCTTTTTAATCTTGTTCATGACCGTAGTTTACACACCCTTAGGTTATATTATTACACAGACCTGTTTTTTTTATAACTCTATGTGTTTTTATATTTGTAAAAAAACTCTAGAAATCTTAACGCGCGCGTTCAAATATTATTTTAATAATATATATATAAAGATAAAATACAATAATATGATTTTATTCACGTCATATTTGTTTTCATCTGGATAACACGTTTTTATCTTGGTAGGTAAGTCCTTTGGGAAGATATTCTCTCTGTGGGAGTGACGACGTTTGTCATAGACCTGCTACAATGGTAAGTAAAACAATACTTATTCTTGTAATTAATCTAACCTCCCTACCATTCCGTTATTCGAGTTTCTAGCAGATTATACGAATACTTAAACAAGATGATATAATATTGGATAATTTAGCACACCGTGAATATGCTTAACGTAAAGCTCCTATTGTTTATTGCAGAAATTCAAGTTCTGTGGAGGCGGAGACTGCCCAGAGTGGTTGTTAGTCCAGATCAATGCGCTTTCCAGAATGGTAATGAGCTAGATAAACTATAAAAAATATCATAAAAAAATTGTTTGATCAGAGGATGGTTTAATATAAAAGATATTTTTTCCAAAAAGTCATAGTTTTTAAATTAACTTGTTTGTAATAGCCATATAATTTAATTTTGTTTAAAATATTCAGTATAATTTTATTCTACTATATCTATAAAAATGTATAACTTATGTAAAAATATCTTTAAATGTGCCCATTTTTTTGCCAATAAAAAAACATTTTTTTAAATGTAGCGTTAAAAATTATTTTAATTTTATTACCTTTGTTTATTTTCTTTAGACATCAGTTAAAATGAGGCTATTAGCTCAGCATACAGTGAATTCATTGCTTGGCGAGCCATTCAATGTAAGTTTTCTTTGTTTTCAACAATTATGTATTTAATCTTAATTTTAATTGTTATTACAAGATTATAAATTACATCTTTCTATTGTTTTACACTTTTTAAAAGTGTTTTAAGACAAAAATTAATCAATTAAAAATATATTTTACTTTATTGGTATTATTTATTACTATGGTGGTCACTAAATCACTTTTTTTAATTTGCGTCTTTTTGAAAAACAATCTACTGGGATTTTTAAACAGGCGTTATGTACTTTTCATTGTTGTGTACTCACTGTTATACAAAAAAAAAATTTTTTATTGTTATAGAGGAGTTTTCTTTGCCTTCTTTTATTATTTCACCTTTATAAAATATGTCAACTAAGTATTACGACTAATATAATTTCTGTTTACGTAATGGACCATATAAGGGCGTAGATAACTTTTGGTTCAAAGTTTTCTAAAACACCTTTATACATCGAATTATGCCTTTAACGGACATTCTTTAATGGAATAATAATGTTAACGGACTTCATGAAAGATGATGACAGTCGTATAAAAACTTCATTTTTTACTGTAAAATTCACAATTTGTCAATGTTGTCTAACGTTTTTCAAAATTAAATACAAATAGATGTATAAGTAAGCTACTTTAATGTTAAACAATTCATACAAATCCGCTATGTATAACACTCATTTTTTAATTATGAGTAAAATAAGTCTTGAGCTCTCTTGTAAAACTAATTTAACATTTATGAATTGATAATAGTTTTTGTTTTCTAGTTAGAAAAAGCAAAGGAGCTTATGGCTGATGCTAAGCTTGGTAAGTCAAGTATTTCAGTTTATAATAAAATAGACTACTTACTTTTATTAATTTTCCGATAAGTAGCTAAAACATAAGGTAATTGTATAAGAGTACAGAAAATCGTTTATAACATACGATTATAATAAAAAAAAACTATACTATAATTAATACTTATATTTTTTAATTGAATAAATAAATAAAAATCATTTTTTCTATAATAATTTGTTTCACAGCCTAATTTATTTTTTTTCTTATATTGAATTTGCAAACTTTGAATTTACGTATTTACTTTATTATTTAAGAGAATATATTTAACCTGAACCATATTAATATGACCTTTAAATTCTACTTTTTTTTTGCCATAGATATGTAAAAGAGTGTAGATAGGAGCGTAGTACTAATGAAGTTTATTCACTTTATCAATGTTTAAATAATATTAAATAAACTAAGCCTAATTAAAAAGAGCCTACCAGCTTATTTTAATGTACCTTTTATTCTATTCCCTTTTTACCACTTAATTTTTGGAAATATTTTACTATTAATACATTTAAATAGTAACTTATTAACATAAATATTTTATATTAATCATATATTTAATTACATTACTTAAAAGTAAAGATTTTCTCATCTCCTAATACAAGTTACTCTTTGAAATCATTTGTTACACATTTCATTATAGAAACTAATATAAATTACTTTTTCAAATTCAATTTTTTATCGCATACCATTTAAATTAAGACGTGCTGGCCAATTTTTTAATTCCATGCAAAATATGCGTATACTTTTACTTTTGTTGATAATCAAGTCCATCTCATCAAAATCTTCCTAAAAAGATGTAATATTAGAAGGAATAAAGCATATTATGCCCTTAAAGAGATCATGTTCAAGTATCTTAGTATTAATTTTAACTTTCATTTAACGTCAAAGGTTTTGTTTAGAGGGAGAAAACTGCAAAGCTTGCGTAGCTGCTATTACATTTATCTTGAAGAAAGCTGCATGCCATGCTGTACCTCAAAATTATCTATCAAATGAACTACAACAGGTATCTAATTTTTTTTCTATACATCTAAATGTTGACTCAAATTTTAAACACGTTTTTAATGTAACGAAAAAAAGTTAATTATTCAATCAATATTTATGAGTAGAAATTATTAGAAACAAATAAAACGTTTCTTTTAACATAAAAGTACATAATTTTTTACTTAAGTTTTTCAAAAAAATAGATTGGTTTACCCCGTGAACACGCTTTAGCTTTATGCAAAGTATATGGAGATAACCTTTCTGAGATTACCAAAGTCCTACGGAGTAGCTCTTTGAAAATTGGAAAATTATCTGATATTAGCGTATCAAAAGAAATCGACAATGGATATTTAATGAAGTTGAAGTATACAAATTCTCCAGGTAAATTAGAAGAGAAAAATTTCACTTTGTCAAAAAATCAAATTCAGCTATTAATTGCTGGTAAGTATGTATTTAAATATAAATTATTATAACTGTATATTAGAAATTAACATTTATATTTGAAATAAATGAAATAATACAGAGCGTTTCACTTATCAAGAACCCTTTAATTGCTTGTAAAATAAAAACAATTTTAAAAATGTTATCTTAAATTTTGTTAGTTGCATATATTTCTCAATTTAATTTTTAATTTGATATTTATGCTCACATATTATGCCTGACTTTCTTTTTTTTTTTAATAAATATTATGAAATTAGATTAAGCAATAATATAATAAGTAGTAGCGGATTAAAAGAATCTTTAGGTGTAGGAGAATAAAAATAGAAACTATTGCATAGTCGCTTTTTACATTGGTCCACCACGTCCCTCGCTATTTCCTGCTTCTTATATTACAAACAAAGCAGTCCACCGGGAAAACTCCCGATTTTCTAATAGGCCAATACAATCTTCATAACCAATGTAGAATTATCCTTTTTTTTATTATCAAGTCATTATTTGTAACAGTGGCTTACCATAATTTTTTTATGAGGGGATTACATTTTAATTTTTTTTTTTCAAAAATAAAGGGACGGTGTGGCCGTTACTATTATATAGTATTAGATACTGTCTCGAATTCAAGTAGAACAGACGGTCTTAGAAATATTTTATGGGAGGGGGTGTAGGCCAACTCAGAACTCTACGATATTACGTAATTAAATTATTTTTTTTGTTCTTTCAGGGATAGAAAACATTTTCTTTAATTTTCTTAAATGGAAATCCCTATTTTAACTTGATAATATGATAGAGAAAATAGTTTGTTTATCCAATCAACCATTAACGTTTTAAAATAGTTTAAAGATTAAGATTTAAAATAAAATATTCCTCATAATTTTGATAGTTATAATACCAAAATCAGCAATCATTTGTTTCGTTAATCCATAAATTATAGTATTTGTCAATAAAAATTTTCAAAGGTTGAATCAACGATGTATGATAATAACTTGTCTTAATTATCATTGTTGAAAATATATCTATAAACGTTTTTCAACTATGTTGCAATTTTTTTAGGAAGCAAACAAATGGTTCAAAAAATCGGTACAAACAAATCATATAATTAATATTATGAAAATTTCCTTATCAATTATTTTTTGTAGTAATGATTACAAAAAAAAGTTGATGTGCAAAATACATTTTTACCTCAATATTAAATATTAAATATCTCGTCAATTTTCGAAAATAGCTTTATCATCATTGTCATCCTGAAATAGTTAAGGGGCGTTCAAATTACCAGAGAGATCTAGTGCTACTTTGAAGTATACTTGGTTTCAACACTGTCTTTTAATAAACAAACTATTAAAGATAGGATTTCTGTAAGATGGATGAACAGTGAAATAACAATAAAAAATTAATCTAAAATCAAAACTTTAATATCTTAAGAATTCACAAAACTGACATTTTTTTTTATAAATATACTGTTAACTATAAGATTTATCGTAACTCAAAAATAAAAATAAAAAGAATTCGATTGAGAGTAAGAGTTAAGAGTGAGAGTTAATTTTGATTCGGGGTGTGATTCGAGGATTATAAAATGACAATATAAATATTCTTATAGATTTAAAAATCTTACCTGATAATTTTTCTTCAGTTATTATAATAACTTCAGTGATAATATTAATAAAATGATAAATAAAGTAACACAAATTCAAATTTTAGCCCACAAATCAAACACGTAAGAACTTCGACAATGATGATCGCAATATTCACATAACGATATCCAGAGTACGAAATTAACAGGCCGGAAAAAGGGTTTGCTCTGACTTTTTATAATATTTTTTACCCCCCGAAAATCATCATTGTCTAATTCTTACAGTATAACTGTTTATTGATAAATAAGCATAAAATACAGAGATTATTACATATGAATAGAATATATAAATCATTTTGACGTTTATATATAACATTAACATAATTTTTTACCAATAAGAACAGGATTAATACAATGCATTTAATTATTAAAATTAGAATAACAAAGATGACAAAAATAATTTATAGATTTCCTCTCGGAAGCAACGATTTCTATAAGTGATTACTAATCAATATAGAATCGTGTGTATTATATAACTAAACAGTGTGTGTTTGTTAAATGTTTATTTAAATTATTTGTTAAAAAAGAATCATGTCCTTCTAAGAATATAATGTATAAATATCCCATGTTATGGTAGTGACGAGTATATTACGACAGATTATACATGATAAAAGATAAACACAGAACTTAAAATGTGAACAACTGAAACAGATCAACAGTTGGTTGTATAAAAAATTATAATAATAAAATTATTAAAAAAGTTTTCTATTATATTATCAAACAAAAATAAAAGTTACAAATTAAAGTTAAGGTGTTTGATCCCTAAAGGGATGAAAAACATTTTTTAACTATAAAATATCGTAGAGTTTATTTGAACCTAATAATTTTTTCTAAATTAATAATGTTCAGTTGTTCCTAAAAAATAAGTGTATTATTGTTAATGAATACATTTTATATGTTAATTAGTTTGTATCTATAAGTACACATAGTCATCCTTGAAGGAGACGATCTTTCTCTTCTTCGCCTTATAAAAATGTATTTTTCTATATTATATTTAGAAATAAAAATTCTTTTCTCATTTTAAAGAGAGGTAATGTCCTTTAGTCTCCCCAACATTAAAATTAAAATTCTTTAATGTAAGCATTAAAAAAATTGTCATATTTTGATATAAATATTTTTTAGCTTTGATACGAAGCTGAGAAGGTGTTAATTTTACCATAATGTGTTTATTTTTTTTATTTTTATTTTTGTGTCTATCACTAACTTTTTCACTGTTCTCATTGGATCGATTTTTCTCAACGATACGTAAAAAAATCACAAATCGTATCTAGTTGAAGACATTACTCTCAAAAATTGAAAATTTTGCCTTCGTTCCCCTTCTTCTTAGTATTCAATCCTGAGATTGGTTTGTAGCGATTCTCTACTCTTCCCTGTTACTTGCTTTCCTCTTTGTCTCTTCATAAGAAATACACCCTTGGTCCTCTATTATTTGTTGCATAATTCGTTCCTCGTAAATAGTGAAAATACCCCAAAAAATTATCATTTTTAAAATCGGTAAATTTCGACTTTTTTTTTTTATTATTGCCATGACTTATTGAAAAATGAACAAATTAAAATAAATTTTTTTTATATTGAAATCTTAGATATTTCCCTTTCATTTGATATTAATTTTTTGAAAATTTGACCCTTTTCCTGACCACAGGGGGGAATTTAAAATTGCAACTTCTACACGAAAACTTAACTTTTTTTACTTAAGTTTTGAAAATGTTCCGGAAATACTCTGAGCTTCAAACATATGTAAAAATAAAGATAATTTTATGTACTATAAGTCAAAAAAAAACCCAACACAGGGGGGTCACGGTACAGTGGTGACGTGCCATAGTTGGATCAAGTATAATGATATCTGATAGATATCATTATAGATAAAAAATATGTAATTTTGATGTTAAAATTTACTATTTCATATTTTATTTTTTCAACTTAAAATTACTATAACTATTTGAAAAATGTATGGATCAAAACAATTATTTTTTCATAAATATTTTATGGTTACTTCTTTTGTTTGATATATATTTTTTGAAAATCTGACTTGTGACCTAACCACAGGGGTTGATTCAAAATAACAATTTTTACACACAAGTTAAACTTTTTCAACTCAATTTTTCCAAATTTTCCGGAAATATTGACACTTTTATTTATTCTTAAATTAATGCTTATGTAATGTACTATACTATGAAAAAAAAAATTTTGAGATATAGTTAACATGGTTATCATATTCAAAAATATGCTAATTTTATGTTAAAATTCTTGGTATTACATTTTAATTTATTTTAATATGCCTTATAATGGGGTACAGTGATTTTCATGAATATTATAAAAATTAATTGACATAGAATATAAAGTTAAATTGATTACAATTTTTTTTCTTTTGAGTCGAAAAATTTAATTTTAACATTTGAATTAGCTTAAATTGGCAATTTTATCAAAAAAACGAATGCGATCTGAACGTTTAACTATTCAATAAAAATCATTGACTGCGTCCTTAATTTTTTTTGAGTTAGAATTTTGCTTTTGAATAATCCACCAAATTCTTAAAATTAAACACTATCTACAGATTTGCATCGAAGCATTTCTTATGATAATGATTTTAATCACTGTCAGATATCATCTATACTAGTCCCAACTATGCCACGTCCCCACTCAGCTTGGTTTTTTTTAATAATATACATATACAGTTTTTTTAATATAAACAAATTATATTTAAGTATAAAAATATATCAAATTTAACGTCTTATTGTGTACTATATAATCAAAAATAATAAATTTCTGGCGACATGTTTCTATGAGTCTTATAAAGTCGAATATCATGTAATTTTACATTATATCCTAAATTTGTTTTAAACATGCATCGAAGCATTTACAACAGTGATTTTAATCACTGTCGTGAATTAATTAATACTAAACTACAAAAAATATCTCAACTCCACTTTATATTATCTTTTTTGGAATTTTTTAAATATGGTATATTTTTCTCCGACGGTTGGACATGGAAAAAAGTTTTGAAATCAAATAGTTTGTCATTCGAGATTTTATATATTTTCAAGGTCAATGGAGGGTGTTTTAAATTTGTATTACTATTCAAAATGGGATAAAAATCTTTCAAACAATTTCAACTTAAATGTTTGATGAATTTTTGTTTTTGCTACAAAACTTGTATATTTGGGTAAAATTAGTTTTTATTACCTAATTTACGTAAATAGCAGTGTATTTATATAATACATACGTATTTATTTTTAGTAAAATTAAAAATATGTGTTTTAAACTATTAAACTAACACACTCATTAACTTTTTTTAGAATTATCAGATGTTTCCAAAAGAATGGCCGACTTGACTCAAGATTGTAAAGAGTAAACGATTATAAAACAAACATGAACATGTACATGCAAACACTAAAAAAATCTTATGTTACTAATTTTACTAGGATTCATGGTTTAAAATGTATTTTATTTTTTTTTAAACAAATATAATATATATATATATATAGAGAGAGAGAGAGAGAGTGGCGCTACCAGAAATTTTTTGGGTGGATCTTGATTATTTATCTATAAAAGTAATGAAAAAAATATTTTTATTTTGTAAAATATTATTTAAAATGTATAACACCATAATAAATATAATATGTAACATTAATATTATTAATTAATTTTCTTTAATCTAATAGTATCTTTAATCTTTTTTCTAATAATACAGGACATTATAGAACAGATATTCTCTGACTACAATATTTAGATGAATTTTATTTGGAATTTCGATACTGATTCCAAATATTTCCTTAGTTTTTTTTTCTTACAAACAATATATTGAAGCCTCAAATTGAATATTTATAAAATTATTGTTTTTTTGCGTAAAATATAAATTTATAAAATATGTATAACTTTAATTATATTTATAGTATTATGATGATAATTTGTATCTTTGATACCTTTACAATAGACTTTTAAAGATTTTTTAAATAAGATAAAGCTGGCGTAATCATAATATCAGCAGTATTTTATTATATCAATGAAAAATGTAATGAGAATACAAAAAATACTGAAATATTATTCATTATGTCAATTTTAGATGACATAAACGCTATAAATGTGTAAATAATACTTAACAATTCGTAAAAATCTTAATGATTGCTATTTTAGCTTCAATGAAAAACTCAGAAGGTATTGATTTTGGTATAATTTTTAAATAAAAAAAAAACTCAAATCAATATTTTTATTTTATTATAATATTACGTTTTAAAGTCAAATAACTGCTAAAAATATATTGTCGAGCTATTTTTCTTTTATTTGTTGTAAAGTACTATTAAAAATCTTTAATTAGATATAAGGTTTGGTTTATGTGATATCCCGGAACATTTTCAAAAATTAAATATAAAGTAATCTTTTTGTAAAAATGTCGAATTTTTTACATTTACGACCGATTTTTTCATAATAAAACACTATCATCAAACAAATATTTAATATTGTAGTACACTTCAAATGATTTATTTTAATATGATTAAAAATGAGCAGACGTCTCGGAATATTTTCAAAAATTGTTTTGAAAAAAAGAAAGTCACACTTAAGTGGTTTTTTTAACCTTTTTCTGTACTTAGCTTTTTCATTAGATTCTCAAAAAATCTAAAAAAGTAAGTAGGGACTAAATTTATTTCGACCACCCAAACCCACCATTGTGGATTTTCTTACCTATCTGTAAGTCAGAAGAATATCACGTAAGTGGAAGTAATTTTATAGTTATGTAATTTTATAATAGTGTGTAAAGGACATTAATGGTAATCTGTTAAAATTCTGTAACTCAAGAAAAAAATGTTTGGTAAAATATGAAAATGGTGGGTTTAATTTGTCCTATTCTCAGTCTGTATGTTTCGCATAAAACAGCAGAGTTATATAGGATATAAAAATTATTTGTCTACGTTCATGTCAAACTGTACACAATAAATATTTTTTGCTTAACTAAAATTTAATATGGTGAACCAATAATTTAAGTGTACAGTTTTTCTTTTAGATCTTATTAAGTACAGTATAAAATTATTATATTTCCAAGGGGAAACATGTTGATTCTGTGCATAGATGTATATGCCTAGTAATGTTATGAATAAATGTATTAATATTATTTGAATAAACTAAAGATAATTATGTTATAAAAAATAACGTTGCTCAAGCGTCTACTAAATGGCCTCCTTTAAATAACAAGGACAATGTGATTAAATGCAAGCGACAATTTTAGAACAAATTATTTTAGGAGATTTTTGCCAAACAGGTAAATTACTGAATAGTTAAATTGAGAAATTGATCAGTTATCTATCTTTTTTATCATCGTCAAAGGACTAAAATATAAGAACTACGTGAGTATATTGATGTAATGGGTCCAAGAAATATATAATTTTTTTCTAAAGTTTAGTTTACGTATCGTGGATACCATTCGTTTAATAAACAGTTCATTAGCAAATCTTGCAGATAACGAACGTACAACTCATATGAGATTATTCACAAAAACCGCAAAGGCATTTTCGACAAAAGACCTCGACCTAATTACGCGTAAAGAAGTTTATCCATATTCATGTACGTCTAGATGAGAGGTATTCAACGAATAACAATTACCACCAAATCAGAACTAACGGAAAAGCATATCGACGACAGTGAATATGAACACACTCAAAATGTTGAGCGACATTTTGAGTGTAAAATGCTTGGAGGATATTCAAATTTTTTTTGTGAAAAAGTTGTCATTTTGAATCCTCCCTGTGGGCAGGTAAAAGGTAAGATTTATAAAAAAAATATACAAAATGATAGGTTTTTCTATTTTTGAAGGTAATGTCTTCGACTACACACGATTTATGATCTTTTGGCGTATCGTTGAAAGAAATCGGCTCGATGAGAGCAGAGAAATAAATATAGTTTAAAAAACTAAAAAAACACGCTTTTAAAGCACATCGAACTAAAAAGTTAAAAATAATTTTTTAAATAATTATGAACAAAAAATACTAGTATTATTGTGATAAAAGCGT